GCAAAATACAAATAATGTAATAATGCCATCAATATAGCTTTGAAAACAAATTTATAATTTTTACAAATAATAAAATACAATGTAAAAATTTTCATGAATGTTGAACTATCCTGAATTAAAAGAAAAATATCTTTAAATTACTTTTACAACGTGCATGTTTTTTAAATCTATGTTTTCGATTGCTATATTGAGGAAACTTGGATGTTAAAATAAACAAAATTTCGTAACGGCATATCTATTCATGTAGAATGCGTAAAAATTTTTTAATAAACCCTGGCAGTGTTCAGTTAACACACGTGCTTGATAAATTGCGGTGCATTGGGATGCATACGTGGTTCGAAAACAAAACGCAGCTCGAAACACACGCATAGCACGACTTTCACGAGCGATGGCCCGAACGAACATCGGTGTCTCACTGTATAAACACGTGTCAAACTCGGGACGCGTGGAACGCGGTTTCAAAACGAGAATGAAAGAAGGGTGAAGCTTTTCAATCCTTTACGATCGAAGGACATTTCGAAAAATCACTCGATATTTAGTATTCCGTTTTTATAATTTGACTTGTCATCTGCTTTATAAAAGATTAAAAACTACGTCGTGCAAAACAATGATTATTCATTTTTCCAACAGAGATTAAAAGAATAATAAAATATCAATTAATTGAACTCTTTCGATACTATACAAACAAATTCACTTTATATCAATTTTCGAATTATCATTGTCGGCATATAAATATATAAATCATTTTTGTCTATTTATAACATCGAAGTCCAAATTCATCAAAAATATCAATTTCCATATGATTTCTCTAATTTTAAATGTGTGTTCGAAAAAGTATCGATACGAATAAACCAGAGTGTATCAAGCGCACCTCGACATGGAACTGCAAAGGGTTAAATTACTCGAAAACACAGAGTTTTCCACTTCGTCTACTGCCTATTCGAGCATTGGTTTCGTGTCTAAACCGGTCTCGATTTAACCCGTGACTACTCTAGTAAAATCTTAAGTGCTAATGGCCCCCCGAGCATCCGACAAACGTATGTAATTTCATTAGTACTCAGGACTTTCTATGCCTTGCCTTCTATTTTCCACGCATTCCCCACAATTCGACGGTAAAAAGCCTGTTTGTAGAAATTGCATTTAACTCTGGCTCGCTAACCGGTGTTATCAACAAATCCAATGCAATTTACGGTATCAATTTTTAGTCTACGCCGCGGTACATTTACATTGTAAATAAAATTTATACAGAATGTTTCACAGGAGTTCTCTCTAAAACTTCAAAGCTGTATTTTTTTCAGGAAGTTGGTATATATTTTCCACTACGCGAAAAACTTTGTAAAAATATGATTCTAAAAAAAATATTCAAAAAACTTTTAGTATCTCAAAAAAAAAAAAAAAAAAAAAAAAAAAAAGGTTTTAAGCTTTTGAAAAATATAAAAAGATAACAAATGTGGACTTCTCAATTATTTCCAAAATGCTATAAAAATCTCTATAGAAATAATTTGATTTTTTAACTTAAGAAATATACAACATATTTCTCATATATATCTCTTGATTATATATAATCTTTCAACATTATCCGCAGTAAGTAAATGTTAATTAGCGACTATTTCCTGTCAGACGTCTCAACTCAATTGCATCGATTATTTTAGAAACATCCTAATATACGTAGCAATGCATTCCATGCTCAAATGATACCGCAATAAATTGTAAAATGCATTCCTTCGCAATTCTCTTTACGCGGAATACGAACACAAGATCACAAGCGCTGGTACATTCTAGCAGTTAAGCGGTTATGCTCTCGCGAAGAAAAGATCGGTCGCGGTGATACTTCTAAAATTAGCTCGACGCCGCCGCAGCCGCGTATAACTTCCTCTCTCTGTGCGCGATTGTCGTGCGCACGTAAATTCCTGCGTGCCGACGTGGACTCGAAACCGCGCGCGAATTAATTGCCGTCGAGCTTCAGAAAAGCTGCCTCGAAAAGCGCACTTCGTGTAACTAATCCCGCACGGTGCCATAAATTTCCGGCTACCCGCTGCTTTCCCGGCGTGTTTCCACTCTATCTCGGCGCTCGAAGGATGGCGGCTCGATAATGATTTTGCGTATATATGCTGGCAATATTTGCACGAAGTAAGAGTATTAGCTTGGATTAGAAATATAAAGTGACTTATTCTCAGAACGCGAAACATCGATGTCTGATTTTACATGAAATCTTGATAAAAATGTAAGTGATAAGTAAGATAAAAATATTAATGATAAGAAAGATATAGAATCGTCGTTTTCATAAAAATTTTCTAAAAATATTTTTGTCTATCTTTACAAATATAATTTTACTATCTTTTGTTACATGCTAATTGTTACATTTCTAAAAAAAATAAAATTTTTTATCATGAAAATTCTATTATATTTTGCTATATTTCACATATTATATTTTTTATTAAAATAAATTTTTAAATAATATTTTCAGTTCTCTTTGATTATATTTCTAACATCTCACTGTTTCTAATAACTAATAACTAGAAAAATTATTTTAATACCGATTTGATATATCCCGAAAAAGAGTATTAAAAATGCGGAACATCGGTGCAAAGAAAATAAAACATAGGTATTCTATCGATCTATCGCACAAGTAGCTCTCACGGAGATTGCAACGGCGTTTAATAAAGCCGTGATGTATCTGCTCTGGGTTATCAATTAGCGGCAGACGCGATTATAACCCACGGAAGTATCATCGATAACTTGCGAGCGAGAGATGGAAGTCTTAATCGCGAGTTGCGCGCTACGACGCGTTCATGAGAAAATTTATACCCAACATGTCACACACAGTTTCTCGTGTTGCTCTCCGCGTTATCGCGTCGCCTCCGGTATTACCGCTTTTTCCACGTTGACGTCTCGCGCGACGGGGACCTAAGACGAGCATTAATTAAGGGCCCGGCGCACAGCAGGTGTTGTAATAATTCCTACGAATTGGCCTCGACAAGGCTCATTATGCTAAGCTATGCAATACGCGGCAATATGTAATCACATGTGCCGCGGCGTGCGTCGCGTCATTTCGTCCCTCGCACGGAATTATTTATCCAACTGTCAATAATATTGCTCGAGCATGCGTATGCGCGGTGACATCAACCGTTAGCATAATTTATCATGTATGAATAAAGATGCGCGTTGATTGCGGTTATTGCTTTTTTTTTTTAAGACGCTACATGACGTATTAATCCCCCGAGAGGCTATTTAAACCCCGGCAGTTGCGGAATTGCAATGTCAATTGCAATGTTGACGCATTGTCGATATGGCCTGCGACAGCCGTTTGATTCACTCGTCTCATGGCGATGTCGACGAGCAATTGTACGCGCGTCACAGTTATGTATTTTGAATTGTTTCGACAAGTGTATGTATATATAGAGAATGAGAAACTAATAAATTATCTCGTTTAAATGTCAAGGCGTATTAATATCTTCTATATTCTAGTCACACATTTAATATCGCAAAAGAAAAATAACACTATTTTATACGAGTCTCTCAGAAATCAAACTGATCAGCTGCAGTTTGTATAAATTTTTTAATTTTAGTACTATAGAGCACATAATTAGAGTGCCCTAATTAACGTATTAAAATTTAAAAAATACGAACAGTTGAGTTTATCAACTTAACTTTTGAGAGGCTCATATATCGGCTACATGAAAAAAATCATATTGTATGCTTAAAAGCACCAATTATAGCATAAATAAATTAAATAATAAATAATATTGCAAAAAATATACATGCTCGTAATATTAAACGAAAATAAAATTGATTCGACGCATGTGGAGATATTTTTAATTGCGATAAAATGGAACGATTAATGGTTATACTGGCGTTTCGAATCATCGCTAAAGGGACGTCATTAAAAGGTGCATTAAAAATAATATCGAGTATGCTCTACGCTCTACGCAAAAGCGAACAAATATGCGCGAGTGCGTGAATTGTCGTTGTGAAATACTATCACTGTTTATCTCATTTTCGTTGCATCGCGATATACAAAGAGTCAACAATGATTCAAAATTAATCGGTATCGATTTTAAAGTTGAGCAAAATTAATTCCCATCTCCGAAAAATGAATAAATTAGTTCGAGTAGAAGCTGTATCGAGCACTAACTTAACCAGCTGGACTAATGCAATTTTCCGCGCCATTATCTTTTAATGTATTACCTTCCTGATTAACTGCCGTTAGAGATATACACGAAAGAGATAAAAAAAAATCAAATAGCTTACAACGCGATAAGTAAATGTTTTTTGTTTTTTAAGTAAATTGTATCGACTATATAAAAAATAGATTCGCTAAAGAACGCTTTTAAGAACAAAAAAGCGCTGCTGGATTTTTACATTAATTATCTAATGTATTAATTAAGAAAAACTCCAAGAAAAGTTAAATATTGAATTCACTTCGCGATTCTTCAGGTCGTAAGAATTTCTGATTATGAGAGAAAGATTATTAATCTTCCTCTGTAAAAAGTCTATATATATATATATATTGTTTCTTACTTTCCACTCTCTCTCTTCTCTCTCGCGTTAAAAAGTATATTATTATTTTTAATAACCTAATACAGAAAGAGAGAGCGTAATTCCATTATCAATATTAATATATGATTATCAATAATTAAAGAGTTAAAGTAAAAAAATAAATGTATATGAAATGCATAAAAAAAGAACAGGTTTATCATCTGATCAAATTTTTCATTTAAATCAGATAATCAAAAAAGTCGTGCAGTCATCGAACATTTAGAATATTTGTAAAGCTTGCATTAATTATGTACATCTGAATTTAATATATCTTCTTGATATATATTATAATCAGCGAATCAATATTGTGTCACACACACATGCAACATTCCTTATAAATATATTTGTCAAAATCACGGTCTCTTTTGATTATTCGACGTAAATAGAGAATTTATCCACCAACCTGCTCGATACAACGTGACATAATAAATCGGTGACAGGCCGTGATTATATTCATTTACCTTTTCGATGGCTTCCAGCGCCGCTTCAGCACTCCCAGCATGAGTAAACCGATGAGGATGAGGCCCAAGCGCTAACGGATCTCCGACTTGCAGCTACTATCAAGCACCAGTATCACAACCGATCACTACCGAATCACACTATCACCGGATTATCTCGTCGATCTCCCGGGAGATCTCTTTGTCGATCGCACACGAGTCACACCATGATCTCTCCCGGACGAGAGAGTTCTTTTTTTTTTTTTTGCGCGCGGTCTCTGCTTTCTCACGTCGCGAAGTTTGATCGATTTCGCGATGATCGGCGTTCACCGGTTAAATAAGTACTCGTCGTCGTTTAATCCCTTCGCGGAATCACTTTCGATCACAATACGAATCGCGCTCTGCGGTTTTCAAGTAACTTATTATCATCGTTATTGAGCGTCCTTATTTACCGGACACCTGCAATCAGAACAATAGCAATGACATTTAAAATTAATGCAGAATTGAAATGTAGATATAGACACGTACGGAATAATTAAAATATATTATTAATGGCGAGATTTTTTTCACTCCAAAATAGGAGAACAATGTTATGATTAAACATAATTTTTTAATTTTAACGCGTTGAATATTTTAAATAACTGAATTAAAAATAGTTTCTAATATGGCCTTTTATAAAATTGGTAATAAATTCATTAGAGAAAAAATTTACATATATATATGAAAATCTATATTGTAAGAGAGATTATTTTTTTTTTATTACAGAAATATTAAAAAAAAAAATTATTTGAAAAACTTATTTCCACAAAACAATTTATGTGAGATGTTACAAGCACATTTTTGCAAAATAGCAAAATTTAAATATTTTATGACTAATATTACAATATATGTGTGTCACAATTATTACTTAAAAAACTATAAAAATGTTCACATTAATTAGATTCTTATAAAATTTATCACACGTAAACTCGTCAAAATGTAAAAAAAAAACATTCAACTCAAAATTATATTACGTACTAAATAAGGAACAATATTGTTTCTCGCGCGCAGAGAATAAATTCCGATACTTTATGGTGTATTATTCCGTTGGCGGAAGTTTGCTAACAAGTAACAACAATTCCGCGTGCAACCGTTAAATATACAGTTTACATCAAACGTTACACGAAGGATAATCCATTTTTTTTTTGTCATCGCGCTGCAGTATTGTGTTCGCCATTTTATGCGATATGACTGTAAATTCATGTAGTACGTAACGCAATACGATCGAGAAGATTCTATTTACCATTCACAAAAGATCGCATAAATAATAAAGCACGCCGCTCGACAAATGTTTATCCTGCTTCCGGGGTCGCGGAATAATTTATCGCCCTTCGAGAGAGCGTCACGTCGTCATCGTCGTCGGGTGGGACAGACTTGGTCGATATCTCGAACGCTTGCTCAAAATCGCACGTAGAAAGCGCTTTTATCAAAAGTCATTTTTAAATCGTTGCTTTAATTGAACACCGATAAATAAGATCGAAAATTCTCGCGCTTCGTGAGGAATTCAATGATTAAAGAACGAATAATAAATCACGTCCCTTTAATTAAGACAATAATTATTCGACAGCATCCCAAGAGGACGTGCACCTTTTGTCGGCTACCGAGAAAAATTGGTTCGCTTTTATGATAAAAACTGCATCGTGCTTTTCTCTGAGCGGAGAATAACAACGATGTTCTTATTGTAAGACAAGTTATTAGCTCTATTAGTTCATTTACCTTATATAAATTGTAAAAAAAAAATGCTGTTATCTTATTATGCGTAAAATCCAACATATACAATAAGCAAGTATTATTAATAAATGCTAAAAAAAACTGTATTTAATGAAGTGCCTTAATTATAGGCTATATTCTTCAAAAGAATTTAATTGAAATTTTAATTAAGTAGCTTCTTAATTACCTCGAAATTTTTTATCGTTAGATCGTTGAAAGATTTCTCGAATCAAATTTTAAAAAGAAACGACATTAAAAATTATATGATGTTAAATTTCTATAGAATATAGTCAAATATATCTGCGTTCGCTTATCATTCAAATTTCACGGTGGGATGTCCATCGTCAAAAATATTGACATTTGATCGGTCAATATCGGTTATAGATAGGAAATAAAATTTTAATTCTCACGACGAAAATTAAACGAACGTCATCGTGTGTTTTGCAAATACGAGAGCAATGCAATCATTGATTTCCGATTCTCGGGAATAGCGGGATAGGAAATGACGTTTAGGCTCGTATTAGAATGACCTTAATCTGCTTTCTGAGATTATTGGTTTGCAAGCAATCACGATCAATGTGGCTGAACATCCAATTGCCGCGAAATTGCATAATCCATGCTCAAAGGTTATTTCGGGCCTAACCGTGGCCGCGTATAACGTATAAATGAATAAATCGGTCAATATTTTATTTGTTATGTATGTATACATTTAAATTATATTGATAATGAATATTACAGCATACCTGCGTGATACACGAACACGAATGAGATAATTATAATCATTTTGCCGAGAGACGAGAAATTAAAAGAAAATCACGGTAAATATTAACAGCTATCGCTGAATATTGTTATGATTTTAATCGCTTTTGTAGCAAAATACATACATACGCGAACAATATATCACAATTATTCGTATTTAATTGAAAAATGTAGAAATAGGTTAAATATGAAATTATTTAAAAATTAATACCAATATCTTTATAAATAACATGTTTTGTTAATAACAAAAATAATTAAAATATATTTTGCATAAATTTCTAATAGAAATAATATACAAATCATGTTTATTTCTAGCACGGTAAATTAATTCATCAATAATTACTAGACAATGATCAAATCAGAATTAATTTTTCTTTAATGATCTCACTTCATGACTTCATAAAAAGATATTTTTAGAATAAACTTCGATGTTTTTTAACCGAGAGAAAAATCTATAGAAATATCCACTCATTATTTAATAATGCAGTAAGTATTCTTATTTGGAAAATCTCTATTTTAAAATAATTTATTAATATTAAAAATCACTAAATATATGTGTGATTTTACATAATTAATAATTTATTAAAATATTATATTTTTTAAACAATTACATATTGTGTGTAAAAATTAGATACTCCATCATTATCATATACTAAACTGCTAACGTATTCAAATAAATCAATATTCAAAATGGCTACCAATTAACTATCCAAATATTCACGAATATTGCAACGCACCTGCTTATATCGAAAGAAATATCTTCATAATTATAAAATGTTCCACTTGGTCCTCTTATTCACTTTATCATTTGAAAATCCGAACAATGTATCGCTGGAATATTCGCGTTATATACTTCGAAACACGTACGATGCGTGCATATCAAGCGGCAGCTCCGTTGTTCGTTAACACGTATTAACCGCGCGATTGCATCGATGTTCAAGTAGCACGAGCTTCATCTCAAATATAATCGTAGAAATGCCGCGAAGCAACAGCACAATTTGAAGCTTGATTTATGTGGGAATAATTAATATCGCATGTTAATTAGCGGAAATTATATTCCGCCGTAGTAATCTTTCATATTCCAGCACATATTAATCGATAATAACGCTCGCGCTTTGCGCTCGTCGCTCGTTAATAAGTGCGAAAAATAATGATGAAATTTCTAACATGGTAACTCACCGGTCGTTCGCGTTTGGAAAAATCGAATTGTCAATTAAAAGTCGCGCTCGCATCTCGGAGAACGACGGCTCCCAGGATCACGAGACGATCAATAATCGCGTGCGGAAAGTTCGAAACTAGAACATCGGCGTCCACCTTCCTGACATTCGGAGAAGATATCCGCGATATTGGCGCGCTCCGAATCGCTTGAACTCCGACGCGATTCACCCCCGTCTTGTCAATGACGTCACGTCACGTGATTTTCGAAATCGCTCGGAAAATTAGCGCGAGCAACGGACATGGCGGACGACCCAAAGAGAATATCGATCGGATTACTCACCTCATTTCGCCGGTTCCGGTTCCAAGGACAGCTTCCGGTTACACGAGCCTCACGGGATGCGCGACGCGATCGACGATCCTGATGCTGGCGGCTTCCTACGCATCACGGCACCTCCGATTTGCGACTTTAGGCGCGGGCACGGGACGGACGTCTCCCGCGCGCGACGAGACCCGGTTCTCGAAATTCGACCCGGTGACCGCGATTCCGCGCGACGTGCGAACGAGCTGACAACGGAGGAGCGATGCGACGCCAATACGATACGTTGTTATATCGAACGGAGAACGCATCGACGGAGAGATGTGTTGAAACTCGCGCGCGCGCACGCACAGGATGACGCGACGTACGTACCGGTTGCGCGCCGAACTCGGACTGAGCAGCTCGTAGCGAGAGACAGAGACATGCGTATCCCGCTATCCCCTCTCTTCGTCGCGCGCACCGCGAGCTCTTCCCCGCCACCGGCCGGCTAAGTTGCCCCCACTACGCGTCCTAGGCAGCTGCGCCTTCGTGAACCGAGCAAATTCCGAGAAATACTTCGGTAAGTGATACTCGGTTACGCGTTTTTGTTGATGTTTTGAATCCGTATTGTCTTGCCTGATATTTGTTTTGGCTAACGCGTGCCTCGAGTTCAATGATGTGGAAGTTAACGAGCAATTAAATTGACGTTGAGCAGCGGAGAAAAGTACGTAAATTATAAACTGGTAATAAACTAGTAAATTTTTCGATTTTCGATTTTCGTAGAATATAATTGCTAGATATATACGAACACTTGTGTTATAAAGCAAATTGAAACCTTGTAGATGCTCTCTTATATATTTTCGTCAGAGATATAACAGAAACGTAAACCTGTCTTTCCCTTTTCTCATCTTTTTCTTCTTGAATATTACCGAAGATCCGTCACTCACGTTACTTCTCATAAATTAGTAAACGTATACAACTCAAGCTTGAAATCAATTTTAGAGTTGCACACGATATTTGAGCATTAGATTCTGCGTTTCTATTTTTGTATTATCGTAATGCGGGTAATAATAGAATTATTACTCATATTTTTTCACAAATATCGAAATACGTGACATATATTATGAATTATTAAAATGACACTAGTGGTATCTAAAATCACTAGACATTTTCGATCGACCGCATTATGTTGATTTTTGAACACTACCGAACGGCTAATTGTAAGTTGCCCCCACTGCTCGTCCTAGGCAGTTACACTTTCGTGAGGCAAGCGAATTTCGAGAAATACTTCGGCAAGTGAATCGAGTGATACTCGGTTACGCATTTTTGTTGATGTTTTGAAGCCGTATTGATTTGCCCGATATCTGTTTTGATAAATGCGTGCCTCGAGTTCAACGGTATGAAAGTTTACGAGAAATTAGATAACGGCAAGCAGTGGAAAGAAGTACGTACTTATTAACTAGTAAATATTTTTAGATTTTTGCTCGATCGATTTTTTCGTACAATACAATTGCTGGGTACAAACGCTCGTGTTATAAAGCACTTTGAAAGCTTATCGATGCCTTCATATTTTCGCCACAGATATAACAGAAATGTAAACCTGTCTGTCTTTTACTTATTATCTTTTTCTTCTTGAATATTACCGAAAATCCATCGCGCAAGTTAATTCTTATGGATCAATAATTATGTCGATTCGTGCATCGTAATTCAGAATTCCGACAAAATTTAGCATTTATAAGATCCTCGATATACGCAAAAGAAACTCACACACATATATAGACACAAAATTTAAAAAGATAAGATAACCCATTCAAGATATTAAAATATATTATCAATATAAAAAAATATAATTTTTTTTAAATATTATTATTTAACGGATAATCATGAAGTACGAATATATCTAGATACAAGGTGTCCGACCAATAATGCCTAGTGATATATGTAGAAACGCTAATTGCTAAGACATGAACAAAACTCTAGTATACAAGTTTTGTAAAGAATTCTAATGAATACATCATTTATGCATTTATAGGAAACTCTGTGTTAATCTACCCGATGCATGACGATGCAAAGCACGACCCTGAACATGGATCCAGGTTGAAACATCGACACCGAACGCTTCGGAGATGCAAAGGCACATTTTTTTTTCGAACGTCGCAAGGTAAGATGTTTCAGCAACGTTATCTTATCGCAAACGATTTTCGCTAATGCATTCAAATATCACGGTCTTAAAATGTTAAAGTGTCGCAAAGATAGTGACTGCACAGGTCATGTTTCTTAAAAAAATTCTACATTAAATTCGTATAAAATATAAATGGAAATAATTATTTGCTCGAAATATTATTTTAAGGAATTTATTTTATCGCGAAAGATTTTTATTGATGCATTCAAAAATATATATTTATAATATACATATATAATAAATTTTATTATTTAAAGAATTTTAAGAAGTTTGTTTTATTGCAAAAGATTTTTATCATTGTATTTAAATGTCACGGTTTTAAAGCAGAGATAATGACTTTGTGTTATTTACAGAAAAGATTATATCTCTTTAAAAAAGTTATACATTTAAATAGCATAAAATATAAATTAACGCGAATAATCAATCGGCAACTTGATGGAAATAATTATTTCCTTGAGAAATTATTATTTTAAGCACACAATCATTATTTTGAACACTATTATATTATTATGAAATTTTGTCAATAATCGAATTAGGCGCGTCATTATGCGATAACTGTATGTATATAGAATGCATACAGTTTAGCCATTCAATCTTGTTTGTCTATGATATATTTATATAATTTGGTGGTGTGTGGAAATTTCATGATAATATGCAACGATTCTCTCATGCTATAATGTAATTGAATAACATCGCGAAAAACGACTTGCGATAAGATAAGATAACTAATGTACGTCGTGTTTGTATTAATCAGAATTATCTGGTCAAAGATCTTCACGAAACGGCATAAAAGATCTGCCACTGAATTGATCACTGAATTAATCTTGAAAAAGATAGTAGGGTACAATGCCAAGTAGTAAATATTTCGCTTTGTATTACAAAGTGTAATTTACACAGTTAATACGATCGTATTATCATTAATTATGGATAAATTATATAGCGGAAACTTGTATGCACATGCAATTACGATATGTTGAATCGACTATAAAAAGATTTCCTTGAAATATCTACGAGATTGACGTGGTTCAATGAGAGTGCGCGTAATTGCGAGTTGCCGCTTCTTTGAGTACAACTCTGTGCGCGCAATTTGTCGGATACTTATAGCAACCATTTATCATGGAGAGCAAAATTAATTTAGATGCGTACCGCGTTGCATTGGCGGCGTTCGTGCCGGACATTTAACATCTGTCTACGCCATGCATATGCACATGCTTACATACGTGCCTATGCAAATCCATGTGTTTTACCTCTTCACAGCATTCATACGAAACAGAGCAGTGAAACCGTGTGCAAATGCCGGTTAAAGTAAATATATATTTAATATATACAGTACAATTTACCTACTGCAATAACCAGATAGAAATGTGTAGAGAAGCGTGTCCCGCATTTAATCTTAAATATCTATTCGTATGCAAATTTTTATAAATGGATTATTAATCATTATCGTGAAAGACATATTACAATATTAGAGTAGTATTTATATATTATATAACAAAAAGTCTTATTTTTAAGAGCATGTTTAGAATAATTGCAATGAAAAACGTTTAAAATTAAATTAATTTTAATTAAATTAAAAGTGAACGTTTCACTTCAAAGTTTTGCTTCGATATGGTAACTGGTCCAATTTCGACGACAGTGAGAGAATGCAGTCGTTCCTTAATGCAAATATGTATGCATGAAGGTATGCGTCAAGTTTTCCGAGATATTTCGCCGCGAACGAGAGCGTATTTTTAAATTCAAATGAGATTTAGTTCGCATGTGTCTAAATTTGCACCGGAAAACTTAACCGACGTCGGAACGGCTAATCGTGTCTGCCAATTGTTTCAATATCGTTCCGGATTCGCATTCTCGGGACACGGCCGAATTCCCGAGTGGCCGCGCACAGCTGAGCGGGCTCTCGGCGCGGATGCAATCGATTTTTCTCTCGTTCGCTGCACCACCGGTGAGATGCAGCTCCGCCCGCGGATGCATCTCCTTGCGTGGTTTGCCAACATCTTCTCCTCTTCCACTTCTTCTCCGCTCCTTCCGTCCCGCATCCTCCGTCAAATGGAAGAGTTAAAATTCTCTTTCGAAAATGTTGGCAACGAGAAATACTGTCTTTATATGACTACCGTCTCTGACATAAGACATTTTGAGGAGAAAAAAATATTAAAAGTGAAAAGAACTTTTATTACTTATTATTTTACTTTTGCTCATCGATTAGATGAGTTTTGTGAACTGGAAGGTTACCCGAAAAAGTAAATCTTTATTGAAAATATTGAAAATTTAGCCGTTAAAACTATATTAGTTATAATCCGGAATTTATAAATTTTTGTGTGATTTTAGTACAAAATTTAATATAAACTTGAGACGGGTATATCTAATTTTCTACAGAAAGGAGTTTAATAATTAAAATAATTTTGTAGAAACTTTTATATGTATACATAACGTGAGATAAAAGATAAATTTTCGTGTAAATTTAGCAAGACATGAATTTTACCGTAAGAAATGTAATTGATTACTGCATTATTTTCAATATTATACATACATTGGAACAAATTTTTTACCGTGAACACGCGTTACGAAAAATTACGGGAAAAAGGAGAAGATCATTTCTCATCGGGGGGATGGGATCAAAGAATTCGGGGTCAAGTTTAATCGTCATGAATGATGAACCGAACGAAAGAAGCTGCAGGTGAACGTCGCCGGCAATGTTAACGTTGTAGTAGGACTGGTTTCTCGAGATTTCACGGTTCTTCGAACAGGTAGTCCCCGCAGGATATGCGCGAGTGGCAAGGGTGGAAAAAATCGAAGGGATCGAGTGCTCGCTTGTGAACCCGTCATTGAAACTGATAGCTCTACGCGGGTGGTATATCACTAATTGCGTCTTATTCATGAGCGAGCATCTACTTATTCTGAACGATCACGTCGCGCGTTATCATCTCTCAACAGCCCACCTGTGGCCTCGAAATAATACCGTGAAATCGTAACTATCAATCGTTTCCGAGGTACATCGCGCGCATTTCTTAGCTTTTAAATATACAATATGTATAATATGGTTCAATGGTGATTTTTCGGGAAACTAATAATCTTTAGAAGAGAAAATAATTAGCTAATTTAAATGTGTGTATTCTTTCAACTTGAAAAATTTAATATATATTTTTGGACAAATAACATAAGATATCCTATTATATATAAAACTAAAATTGAAGATTTTGATTTCCTATGCATATGTGTGATATATTAGTTTATTCGTTTATTAGTTTATTTTTTTTTTAATAAAATTGTTATTTTTGTTATTTTTTCTGAACTGCTATTAATTGTTATATAATGTCACTTTGGTAGAATTTTATATATTAAGGAATAACTGATCTTATCTTTTGTCTGTAAGACGATGTTCATACTTGACAGCTTTATTATCGAAAGGGACTTTCAGAGAGCAAAACTTTCAAGTGAGCAGCTATTGAAAGTTTCATGCCCTATTTGTGTTCATCAGAGACTTCTACGAGAGAGTGGCTCTGAGATAATAAAACTTTTAAGTTAAACACATCGCGGGATCTCTTATGTAGATCGCAAATAGATTCGGCCTAAATTAAAATAATTTTTTATCTCCTAAGATTGTCGTTTCTATTATAATTTTTTTTTTCAATGCTATAAGAATCCAAGAAAGAATTTGGTATTTTTGAAAACTTTTATACAAAATTCTTTCTCTCTATCTTCTCAATAAGTAATGTCATTTTATTTGACATAAAATTAAAAATTTTATCTATGATATTTAAATATTTTGACGCGCGTATTAAAAAAGAGATCGCTATTTTAGTATTATGTTTTTACATTAAAATACGATTTAGAATCAAATTACATTGAATGAATCTCAATTCAACTTATACGTTTCGAGATCGATCAATCATATTAGCATAGTTTGATGTCGCGGGAAAAGGGTCAATCGGTGGCATTGCGGACCGCGACAGGAAACCGTAAATTGATATTCAGCTCATGCACTTGTATTCATCTTGTCACATTCTTTATATTCAACTCCGAGAGAGAAGGAGAAAGAGAGAGAAGGAAAAACATTCTGGTCTTTCATTCACTATCTCCCTGGACCCGTACCATCTGGTCTTCCACCTGCGCTCAGCCAACTGTTTCTTTGCCATTGCAACCAGAGCAGGTCCGGTTTTTTCATTCCGGGCGTCTTTCAGTATCTTGTTTCTCGACGACGAGATATAGTGAACGCGATAATATCGATGCGTGTTTAAAGTCCCGCGAATTGTCTTTCTCGTTCCGCCATACGGATCAAAACTTTGCATTTCGAACAATCGACGGCCCAAGTGTGTGAGTTGAATAAATTTGTTTTTCTCAGTGAAATTTTCACGAGAAACAGATATACAAAGTAGTTACAGATTTGCATAAATGTTTCACATGGTGAAATTATTTTGCGAAAAATTTTTTTAAGCCGAAATTGTCGAGTCTTGTGTGCGTGCCGCTTAAAACAGAGAATCATGACATAATAATTGCAAACTTTTCGTTCACTTGTAAAACATAAGAATTACAACTTTGTAATGAATTCTTTTTTTCGCAAATTGTATAACATTTAGTCTGAAATTTACATAACACTTAACGAATTTGTACTTGCTGATGAAATAATAATTAACCATTAGCTATATATGTATTGCTCTCTTTTTTGCGTGTACATAAGTATCACGTTGATATAATCTTATACGAATTAAATGAGGGTCATAATAATCTTCCAAGCCTTTGTCGGAGACGACGTCCAATACCGCAATATTACAGCGATTCTTATCTTGTCAAGCTTAAAAAAAACTTTCCTTTGATCTTTCTTTCTTTTGATTTTTAAAACAAAAGAATATAAGGCAAAAAATTAAGAAGATTTCTGCTTACAGCTCTCTCTTATAACGACTTTCTTATAAAGACTCTATTATAAAGACTTTGTAATTTCTATATATTTTATTAATAAATTAATTCTTAGAGAGATATTATATTTTAATTAAACGCGCGCGTAAAAAAGAATTGCATATATGCAAAGATTATAGTATCTCAGTCTCTTATATTTTTATATTTTAAGATGAAGAAATAAATACATTCTTTGTCTCTTTTTCTACTGTGTTTGTTTCCTAACTTTTACATTTGTTAATCAGCATCCATTAAAGTCGCTATTCTGTATACGGCTACGTATTTTGACATATCAAAAAACATGCGCAACGACACTTATGGAGTCTACAGTTATCGGTGACTGTATATATAACGCCATATATTTTAATTATTTACATTAATATTAATTGCAAAAAATAAGTGGTTCCGGCCGGGATCGAACTGGCGACCTTCTGCGTGTAAAGCAGACGTGATAACCGCTACACCACGGAACCTTGATGACTTAGGTTCATCATGGTGTCTGTGAATACCAGCACATATTTATATACAGTTTCTATTTTCGAATTATTGCGTTACTTAATATCATAAAACTTATGAAGACATTATCATATATGAGTTTGTAATCATTTCTTTATATATGAGTTATAAAATCATTTCAGACATTTATTTACATGTTATTTGTACTCGCTGTCGATAAATTATATGACTTTGTCTAATATTATACAGATGGCAACTGTGATCCACACATGTATATATGTGTAAAAAACAAACAAGATTTATTTTTCAAATTTTATATATAAATATAATTTTTTAATATTTATTGCTTTTTACATTATTTGAGATATAGTATAAGAATATAAATCAGATATTACAATTTAAATTGTAAAATTTTTTATATCTATTGGATCATTATCAAAGAATAAATATCAATGTTTTCTTGGGTTGTTTGACTGTATTGCATGAGAAATTGCCATAAATCGATGTTCGCTGTAGGCTCGTTAAATCATCCCCTGACGCAATACTATATGTAACGCATTGCATTTATTATAATTACGAATGCATTCTGTCACTCTCTGCACGCGCGATTTACAACCGCCCAAATTGGCAACGTTAAAATTGCATATTGGCAAAATTAATTCGTCGAAACATTTGCGTATTCACGAGACGCTTTAATTTTATTCGATTCGACAAATCACGTTCACATACATGGAAGAATATATTCAAAAATTTATTTTAATTATCAAAAAACAGTACTATATTTTCCTAGAATATAATATATTAACAATACAAATCATATTTTTATTAAAATATTACAAAATATCACAAGATATCAACATATAATAATAATAGTTTTATACCTTATAATATTAACGTTTGACATTTTATTACAACATTTTGCTATTGGAAATTATGTTTCAATTTGTATTGTTTATATTGTAGAGTGCTTTCTTTTATATTTTATACAGGAATATTATAAAATATCAAAAATTATAATTTGTTTTTATGAAATGGGTTATGTTATTAGCCGGATTTGTACTATGGTTTATGTCTCTACAACGCGCATAATCACGGATTATATGTCGATCATAATTATATCTAATTATTTATTATTAAGAAATAAATGACAGATATCTATGATAATTTATTTAAATTGCCATTTGTATTTAAAAAACATATTATTTACATTAATAAATATTAATATATTACGAGATTTTGAATGAAATTAGATTATATAGTAATATAACTGTGAACATTGAATTAATGAATCGGTGACTGATATTAGTAATTCCGACTTTATCGATATTACGAAAATTTATCGGAGATATTTTATACATATGACACATTATAGATATACTTAAACAAATGTAGCGCATAATTATTATATATAAAATCTATATTTATTATATTTTTTACAATTAAGTGCTTTAAAGTTTGATTGGCATTTATAATGTTTGATAAGCCAGTTCTATGTCAAGATCCTCGGTAGTATAGTGGTTAGTATCCCCGCCTGTCACGCGGGAGACCGGGGTTCGATTCCCCGCCGGGGAGGTCTTTTTTTGTCAATATATTTTTCCAAATCATAATTATGTATTAACTATTTTGGCTTTTATCTATACATAATCCTACAAAATTCTTCAAACTTAACAAAAATTTTGTCAATTGAAGCATTCCCACTACACACATACACGCACACACACACACATATATACATATACATATATGTACATACAAACATACATATTCTTAAAATCTTATTAAATTGTTCCAATTTATAGTTAGTTTTTCTTTAATGAAAATTTTATATTGTATCACGTGCGCGATTTTTTTTTAAAGCCCAATTTCTCTTTTTAAATATATTTTATCTGTATTACACACATATAAAATTGATTTAAATCTCTCTTTTTAAATATATTTTATCTGTATCACACACATATAAAATTGACTTAAATCTTTACTATTTTTTAGTAGAAAATACTTTGATACATATCAATCTCGTTTATTAAAAAAAAATATTCTGTCATTATTTTATTGATAGTTTAGCTAGAATATTAACTTGGAAAATTTAGAAAGTTTTGTAAGTTAATATCCTGTAAATGTGTGAATTTCTGTAAATATAAAACTTTATATATAATTTTAATATATACACATAAGAGATAATTTATTTATGCAGAAAATCACTACCTTGCTATTTATGTACTTATAGAAAATATAAAACAATATAACAGACAAATTAAGCATTAAATATGCCAAATTAAAATATCTATAATTATTATCGTAGATAGGAAAATGAAACAATATACAAAAATTATTTTGCTTAATATACTGAAAACAAAATAGTTATTGTAGGAATATACAGATATATATAAATAGCACATAAAACATACTATTATACAATCTACATTTGCATTAGGCACACATTTATAGAAACACGCAAAAAAATGATTTTTTAATAAGCAAAATATCAGTCTATATAATATATATATATATATATATATAATGATACAATATTTAATATATGACAAATATCAACAGCACATCAATTATATCCATAATTATTCTATATTGTGATATTTGTTGTAAAATGTACATTATAATTATAAACTAACAATTAGCGACATAACTTTCAATTAAAAGGAAATATATATAATGTTTCTTTTGGTCTATTCTAGAAACATATCTCTCTAGTTTTCTCAGGAACGGATATTTATCGCGTATATAAAAGCAGAAGCATAGTTACAAAATGTGATAAATATGAGTAAAGTTAAAGTCTGAGGTTTTGATCCGTTATTGTGCTGCTAATTGTAAGAGACGAGCGCGAAGAACGAACGGAAAGTTACAATGCGCGATATTATATTATATTATAAGTGAACTTCATAATAATTAGTTCACGAAGAATGTATTGATCTCTTGATTCATCATTGATACGAAATCAAATGTAAATTTTTTTATACCGTATTATTATCGGAATTTTTAATTTGACGTCTCGTTTTATATATGACAAATAAAACGAAATTAATACACCTCGTTTCATTTATGATCGGTTTCCCTTTTTATGGTTGCAGCGAGACACCAAGCTAGGATGATACCGGCGATCTAAAAAAGAAAATGTATTTTTATATCAAGATTTAAAATATTGCTAATTTTGAATACGTTTTTCATTTTAATTATAGTAAATATCAGTATATAATTCTTCAATTAAATCATGTTTTTTAGAAACATACATTATTTCTGCGCCAACACATCCAGATATTTATTTATCTTTTCTTATTGTGCTCTTGCTTAAAACTTGTTTAGTTTGATTTTAATAAGAGCGAAACAAATTCTGACACGGTATCGGCTTGACATATTTAATTAAAATATCTTGTACAATAAGTAAAACGAAAAGTTTACTTGCCTCCACGAAAGCTATCCCGATACCCACGCCAATTAAAACCGTAGCGCCCTTGTGGACCCGCATTTCCAACTTGCTAAAGCAACCCTCCTGATATACCGATGCATCATTAACCTGACAAATCACTTGCGGATCGTGCTTGCAACAAGAGGACGGAAAAGTTAACGTAAATCCATTAGACGGGGTCCAATCATTAGGACCGTCCACGCCGCAACATTCCAACTATCGTATAAACAGACAGGATTGACGTATTAATGGGATTTAATTAAACAATTATTTTTAAAAAAATTTAATTTAATTTAATTGAAAATTAATTATCTTTTTCGTGTACTGTATATACTGTATATACTGTATATATTATTTTGGTTCCAAAGTAAAGAAAAGATATTTAAGAATATAAGAATATATTTAAGAATATAAGAATATAAGAATACCAAAAAAAGTAATTTAAAAATATAAAGTTTAAAATATAAAATATTATTAATGTAGCAAAGCTACAAAGTAGAGCACATTGTGAATATATTAATAGTTACATTCGCAATAACGAAATGACTTTAATTGCTCGCCGACTATTTGCACGCGATGATCGTTTCATGTAACCTATCATCATTATGGGAGTTGCCGGTTTACTATTATTTTCTCCATGACACGGAAAGTATATTTGATTTTATCATCTCGCTTTTGTATTGATAAACCCATTAGCACGCTGCGTTTCAGATTCAATATACAGACCTTTCTCTGCACGTTGTCCCAGGCCATCCTGTCAGTTTCCGAATAATTCTTCATCGAATCTTTCAGAGTGTCTTTCATTGCCATGCTGAAATCGTTTTTAAACACCGCCGCTGCTATGCCCACCGCGAGCTCAATCACGAAAATTATTAACAGCGCGGCCGCAAACTATAAATTATGTTTGACATTACATTCATTTATTTAATTTTTTTACCATATTAAAATTATTATCCAACAATATTTTTTTGCTTTCTCGCAAAAAGAAATCTATTTAAAGATATACAAGATACAGATAAAATATAGATCAAATACATGTATAAATTTTTCGATCTTAAAAATCGGATAAAAAATAGTTGAAAAATTTATGATTAGAATTAATGTTTTAAAGTTCTCTGGACACTACAAACAAACGGTTTCTCGAATATGGTCAATATTTTTACATTTTTTAATTATTTAAAACAATTAAACTGTAAGTATAGGCTCTCAAGATCAACATATAAATAGCAATTTAGAGCCAGCGCTGGTCATATTTTATCTTAAATTATAACTTAAATTATTACTTTCTGATTTGTCAACCGAGGGAGGAGCGCAGTCCGTTGATCTAGAAGTGGAGTGTCTTTTATACGATTCTAAACAGGGCGTTGAGGGACAGACTTGCGTGCCCACGTTAGCAACCGTGTATTTTTAATTATTTTTATCCGTTTTTTTATTTTAATTTGACTCCAATGTATTTTTTGAGCGACAATATTATCGACAACGCATTCGACTCATATGATGGTTTTTATAATTTATATATCACTCACACTTGCACTGTTATTATTTTAGTATTTATATTACGCTGAAAAAGGTCCAAAAGAGGGACCGAAACGTCCATTTAAAATATGACAAATGTCTAATTTATAATTTAAGATAAAGTACGCTTCGAAACCAGCGCTAGCTCTAAATTGGCATTTATAGGTTGATTTTAGTTTTAAATTATTTGTGATTATTTCAATAATTATTTAATGTGGATAAAATTGTATCTCTGAGCTATATTTTATGCGGTATATTGATTTTTTAACTTACGGCGATTAATATGTGATAGTGCTCCTTGATCGCTCCATAACACCCTAGAAAAGCTATAATGAAAACGATAGCTCCCGCAACTATAAGTACTATAGGCGGTGCCATTATTCTGCCTTCTACAAAGTGACCGAATTCACCAACATCCGCTAACACACACGCACCGGCTGCGATGATACCTATACCGGATATCTGGAAAAATTTTAACTTAATTGTGCGCATTTTTCTTTGTCTCCGAAATTCTATTTCACATCTTGATTTTTTCCAAAAACTTTAAAAATGAAAAATATGCATATATATTTTTATATAAAAGTATCTTTTACTAAAATTATTTTCTAAAAATGATATCTGTTATCTGAACGGAATTATATTCTCTATATTAATTGAAGTACAATCCTCCAAAGACTACTATGCATTTTAAGAAACATGTATCACAAATCATCGAATCCTTTTACACGCAAGACAGACATCTGAAGATATCTTGTGCAGTCCCAGAAAAACCAATAAAAATTAGATAAATCCTCAGAACCTCACATGAAAATTATCACGAAAAAATAAAAGAAAATGCTTCTTAAATCATTTTGAAAGGACATTTGCTATCGAGATTATTCTCAAGAAGATCGCTCTTGCCATCACGCTCTACTCACAGCGAAGACCAGATTGAAGATGAAAAGGATGTACTTGATGATATTCATCCCGCAGGACTCCATGGTAGCAATTTGTTTCGCGAGAGAATTGATCTTATTATCTCGATTTTATTACTCTAATTTGGAATCGATCTCACGACACTTCGCGGGATTCAAAAGATCAGACGCATAATCGACCGACTTGTGTTCCGTGCGACGGCCGTACAGTTAGTGGGAGCGATCTAGGTTGTGCCCCTTAGTCTAGGCGACGAAGGGCTTCGATCGAAATCCTCGGCCTCGAGGCTGCCAGTATGACAGACATGCAAACGGCCTCATTGGTCGTTCAGGGCGATGCACGAGGTCCTGCCACGGCTGTCGCGTTACCAGCCTATCATTGGTCAGCGATCCCGGGCAGAAGATATTATGTGGTCACTGATGGTAACCATGGTCACCTTGCTCACCTCTAACCCGGGCCAACCTGGCTCTTTCCAGGGAAAAGGAATAAAAAAAGAAAAGAGGACACTCGGTATTTGCCAGCGTACATAAAAGCACACTTTGCCAAGTGAACCACCCTCGGCTTCGGGTTCGATGTCCTCTTTGACTTGTGTTTAACCCGAGCCATCGATCCGGAGGCCGTCAACTGACGCGCGAAATCACGAAAATTCTTTCGTCGATTACATTTCGCATGTCGGTGAGACGTTAAATGTTGACCTCCATCTGTTGATTCTTCGTACATTTAAAATGTTTAAATATGTGACGTTTTTTCAATAAGTTTTCTTAGGTATTGACGTGATATGCCATTTGAAATATTTAGATTATAATATTAGATTAATAAAAATTACGTATTTTCATAGATGAAACGATAAAAATATTGATCAATTCGCGTGCGAGGAAATAGCTTAATCAATATCTCGCTATGTTGATTACTCGAAAGTAATTTATTAAAACAGAGATAAAATAACGCTTAAAAATAGAATTAATATTATTTTTTCTCTTAATTTATACACAAAATTTATTAATTTATGAACAAATTAATTTTATGAATAAAATTAATTTTTAATATTAATTTATGAATAAATTAATTTTTTTCACATTTATTTAACTCTGTTTTAATATTTGTTCTATTTAGTAATACAATTTTTTGGCAATATCAGTTTTGACGTATGACTGACACACGATATAGCCATGCTATTTTATCAATTTGTAAAATGACAGAACGCTGTCTCAGCGGACACTTTAATTAACTCTAAACGCATTACTTCGCTCTGCATTGCGGCGAAGCGACACAGCCCGATGCATGGATGCGAACGCAAACCACCACAATTTTATCAGAGATCAGACGGACTATGAGCACATCGCGTTAAACGATCATCCCTCTCGGCGGTTCGATAATGTCACATTATCTATATGTCCACTTGTATACACACACAAAGTGGGTCATAAGCGACTTGCGAGCACGTTTTCGTTTTCGTGATTCAATGCCCGCGATAGGCGTCTCTATGATACATACGCTTTCTTTCGAGAAACTTCTGAAAAAGTTTTAGTGGCTTGTTTCGCATGCAGATGAGATTTGCAGGTAAATCCGCCGTTTCGTGCCGTACTATGAACACGTATATAGGTTAATGGGAGCGCGATAAATATAGTTGCCGCGCTCATTCCTCAGGTAGCTGTACCTACCTACGTAATAGTACATGCATAGTGATAACACGCTACGATTTAAAGTTCACCGCCACAAACATTTTTTTCCAATCTGCCCTTTGTATAATTCATATATATTTGTACGTTAATATTAATAAGGGTATTTTTTTAACTATATTAATTCACTAATGAATAATTTTATAATTAAGCTTGTACATATGTGTTAGATAAAATCGCTGATAATAGAGAACAAGATAAAGTTTACATCAATTAAGAATTTTATTTTAGCAAATTTCTTTCTTATTAACAAGTAATATTAACAATAAAGAGACTCAGCTAAAAGAGACGTATACAGAAGAAATTTTGCAGTTTGCAAATGTGCAAAAGTGCACATTACGAATAACAAATAGATCGTAATATTATATTGTATTTAAGTATACGAATAATGCCGCTAACGAAACTGACTATTCTATGATAATTGATACTTATATATATTGCTCAATTATATTGCACATTTTTTGCAATTAATTAAGTAGGTACAATATTGCAAATTACAACACATAATATATTTTATGCATATAGAGTTTCAAGTAAAAATCATTTTTCGCTCAGATGTAAGGTGCGCGCACGCGCAAATTAAGTGCTTCTAGATAATGTTGAAATTGCATAATATTAAATACAAATATAAAAAAATTCATTATTTAATTGATTTAAATAACCAAATATGACAAAATATTAATTCTTTGATGCATTAACTTGAGCAAGTAATTCGACATTCGCAGGTACATAGTAAATGCAATTACTGCGTTGCATTTTTCGTCGATTTATCACAATGAGATTTATAGTGTAATCGGTTAGTGCTTTTAAGTCACGTTTACGTTAAAACAACAATCGCTAACACCTCGCTACTCCGTAACACATACACATACATCGAATTCGACAGGTACATAGTAAATGCAATTACTGCGTTGCATTTTTCGTCGATTTATCACAATGAGATTTATAGTGTAATCGGTTAGTGCTTTTAAGTCACGTTTACGTTAAAACAACAATCGCTAACACCTCGCTACTCCGTAACACATACACATACATCTCAGTTGTCGTTAAAAATTTTTGTTATTCTTCACTGCTGATATGTATTGACGAATAATCGATGATCGTAGAGCTCTCATGCTGCTCCCTGCTTTGGGTTGCGCGCGGACACAATTGTAGCTAATTTATTTATCCTCGTACAAATTGCGAAATTATTTCGAGCTTCCGCGGGATTGTTAGTACTTGAAATGTTGATAAGCGACGACGAGGAAGAATATCACAAGCGTCGATATATCTGGCGTGGTAAACGAACCAGAATTCCAACTCTCTGTCGGCGACCTGAAAGCAGTAATATTGAAGAGATCGATAATTACATTCTTAACTGAATTGCGCATCATATTACGTATTTGTAAACATCGGGATTTCCGGAAACCGACGGTGAAATAACATCTCACGCCGCAAATTACATTATGTGATACTCGCTTGCCGTGAGTCTATACGTAGAAACGTATTAATGCATAGTGAGACGTAAGATTTTATTCAATTACATTTTGATGCGTTCTATTTTAACGCACTAAGTAAATATGAATTACAAAGAAATTGTATATGCGATTATACTACATTAGTCATAAGTGGATAAATATCACAAACATTCTGGAAAACAATAATGTGTATATTTGGTATTGCTCGAATAACGAATACATGGTGAATAATATGTAAGAAGATAAATGTATGAAATGCGGAACAAATATTATTGATACAAATAAGACACATGTGTTTCTCTCTCAATGTAAACAGTGTGATGTGCGAGGAAGCTTGTTAAAATATTTTTCGATTTATTATATATCTTGAAAAATATATTCTCTTTTAGTATAACGGTTCTTATCACATCGATAACACATTAACAACTTTTGCAATTAATATGATGTGATATAACTTTTTGACGTTATTTTTGAATAATTGTTAGAGAAATAATAGCGGGCATATATCAACCTTAAACTTTATTTGTATATTATCTCATTGAGGAAGCTCGTAAATTAACAAAGTGTTATTACTACACTACTTTATTAGCGTTAAAATATAATCCGAACAAAAAAAGCAAATTAACCGGCTTCTCTCTTAATTCGCACATATATAATGCGCGTATCGTTTGGATCTAAACGTGCGTGACCATGAAATAAGTTATAGAGGTAGTATTCTGACATTACAACGCATATCCTTTTTCTTTTTTAAAATGTTGTAATACTTTTTTACGACATCATCATCACCACAGAAAAGTTATCAGATAGATACAGGAGAAACACAGATGTGAAACAGAGAGGGAGAGATGCACCGGGGAATAAACATAGAGGGACAAAACAACATACACTGTGTGTTAAAGTATCATCAAGTTTACATATAAAAGGCGGACAGACGTCGTAGAATAACACAGTCAATGGAGAGAATTACATTAGATTTCTATCGCATAAAACGTTGCTCCTATACTAATTCTACGATTCAATTTATTAGACAAGATACGACGAGGTTCTTCTTACAAAAGACATAGGACATACATAAGACGTAGTATTTTATAGAAGAAGCGTCTTATAAGTGAGCAACGTTTCAACAATATCGATTCAATTCTAATCGGGACGTATTTCTAATCAAATCTACGGGGTGATGAATATCGATCCTTCTCTCTCGTCCCATTGACCGCTGACATTTCCCTTCGAAGTATTTCAGATCTTTCTGTAATGTGCAGAATACAATGAGGCGCGGCAATCTTTGTGCAAAAATACGAGGAACATTGAATTTTCACAAATAGTGTTAATGTCGTAATTTGATAATAATATTAAATATTATTAGTTATATTATAACATTAATATTATACACAAAATACAATGAACGATATTATATAGACAAAATATTAGAAAAACATTTACTACATTAAACAAAGATATATTACTGCTATCTGTAATTTTTTATTTATCTATTATATTTACATAGCAAATTTGCAATAAATATTTATTGGTGACAAATAAGTGACCGACAAATAATAGATGGACAAATAAGCGTTAAAGTAATGAAAATAAAAGAATTCGATTCTATTATTTCACTGAAAATGTGAAACTTCTTACTTATGTACAACTTATAATTATTAATTATAAATGACACATAGATGCTACAGAGAAAGATATAAATTTTATACTCTGGAAATATAAATACGAAGAATTGCCTAAAAAATAGAGAGTGCAGGAGAAAATGGGAAAACAATGAAGGGATAACCTACTGGACACCGATGACACCACAGGCCCAACGGTCCCCGGCATTTCCAGTTGTCGAGGAGAGAGTGTGGTTACCCTTGCCAAGATCGTCCTCGGCAGAATGAACGACTATGGCTCGTCCTAGGATATTGTTCGGTCCGCTCAGCGAAATGATGTTATCAGTGATATTTATCATCGCTTCTCCCTCAGAATTGGCTTGGACATTTCCCAAATCGCCGACATGTCTCACAGTGTCATCCGGTCCGCCGTGAGTCACCTAACGAATTAATAATGTGAGCAGATTTCGAAGAATATAATCAATGAGATTATTGAAGCAAAGAAACGGTCCAGACACATGTTGGATCTTTGAATTTTTAGTATAAGATAGAAACAATCGTGACAAAAATTTTATGTCAGAATAGAAAATTGTTCACATGGACAGATGCAGAAATGAGATTAATTATAGTATAGCGAGAGATTAAAAGGCAAATTGGTCGAGAGCTCACATTCTCAGGATTGAAGTGCGCTCCGGTGGATGCGCAACCGTTGCTCAGATCTCCCTTCTCGTGTACGTGAAAACCATGAAGCCCCTCGGTAAGTCCATGGATCGAGCCCGTAATGGTGACGGGCCCATTCGGGACGGACTGAACGATCTTCAAGTTACCCGTGACGTTCTTTCCCTTAACGTCGTGCGGAGTTAGGCGAACGACCGCCACCATCTCCTAATCGAGCCGATTCGATGCGATCAGTACGATTATCAACGGCAATCCCTAACGTTTTTTTTCGAAGAACAGCAAAAAGCTTCGTCCAAATCGTGAAAGAAGTTTCTCTCAATGGAAAGTTAATTGGATGTCAACTTCTCTCACAGATTCTTAATTTCCGATATTAAATCTTTTGAGACTTAAGAATCAAAAATAAAAAAGTGCTATCGAAGCGAAAAAGGTAAATTTAATTATTTTCTTATTTCTATTCTTCTAAAAAATTAATCAACTACATTCTCTCTTCTCTGACATTTGTGTATTATCGCGGATGAAATTTTCTCGTGATGTTATTTAAAAATACTTTATATATTCTCTCTCTCTTCCATGTATTATATTACAAATGCATCATTATTCACAGATCGTTTGATGACTATTCCAATTTATGGAATATCATGTATTACAATCAATGATTGTTACAATAATACAATTTGTCATGCATTATATCATATTGAAAAATCGATTGATAATTTATTCATTATCGCGGAAACGGATTAGTGTGCATAATATTTGGATTGACATACATACCTCGGCTGTAACGACAGTTACAGCTGCCAATAGTAATAATGCGACCATTCGACTCATCGTGTGAACTGTAAATAGAATGACAGAAAACTAAAGCGTCATGTGTAAAACTATATCTATAATAATTTTTTCTTTTTTTTCCGTCGAATATGATTGCCATGTGCGTAATGATCACGATTACTCGAAAGTCGCTGCAATAATAATCATTTATCGCTTTCAAGTAAATAATTTTTTCTTTCATTTTGTCACAGGGTATACAAATATACGCCGTGAAAAATACTTTTGCAGTGTTTCATTGCAATTTTTCATGAGGTATATAAATCTTATGACAAGTGTAATTTTGATAACAAATACAATATTTCGTTTATATAATTTCATTTCGTTTGTGAGAGAAGATACGAAAAATTCGAATAATCTTTCGATCGAAAATTACAGTCGGATAGTCTAGTAATTGATTCTAAATTATTCCGGAAGATTTCACCGCGTTTGTCTATTAAAAAACGATTAGTAATTTCTAGATCTGGATCTGGATCCATTTGTACATGCCTCACGTGCACAAGTGTAATTTAATCGGTGCGCATCTAGATCAGATGAATCTATTAACCAATGACTTTGTGCTACACGTTGCTTGTCGGTGGTAGACTCGCACGGAAAAGACTAATCAATATATTCTTGTGGCGCAGTTTTTGAAGCACGATTCACAAGCAGTCGTTTATATAATTTTTTATAATACAAAAAAATACGCGTAGATAAAAAAGGTACTGGATTAACGGAAAAGGAAAAGCCACTTTCACGTCACTTTATATTATCGAGTGATGTTACAATCAGTCAATTATATATCGTGTCGTTTATATTTTCCTTTATCGCGCCTGTTAGATGTATAATCTCTTATTGTTGCTCATTCCTTAGGTATCAGATGACCTTCGAAATATATAACAAGTTACGTTATAGCGGCGCATGTGAGATTTTTTTTACGATTAATTAGTAGGATTATGTAATTTTATGTAAAACAATAGCAACGAATGATATCATGTCGAGTTAAAAATAGAGTCGTGGAATACTTCGATGTTTCAACTTTGTATTAAGTCTATTGGTTTTGCTCATTATATATCATTATTTTCATTTTTTTTTTTTTTTTTTTGCATATTTATAATACACAAAGACTTTTTTCTTTAACTTGTTTCGATATAATTCTAGTTAACATTATAAAATTCCAGACATTCCAAATTGCTGCCAATTTGCGCGCTCTCTTCTCATCTCGCCTTTATAAAATGCAACCGTATAGTTATTGGAAAAGTTCTTATCAGTCTTGATATATTTTGTGTCAATATAAATATTTCTATTACGATCGTCTTGCTTGCATCTTATACAAGCACTCTAGGTTCTCTTATCGTTATACTTGTCCTGCTTTTTTCCTACTTTATTTCGTTATTACAAGTACATCTATTGAAGAGTGTCTGATCAATTTCTCGATATTATAAATCATATAGTATTATGATATCTTTTGTAAGCAATTTATTATCGATTTATATAGATATCTCAGAGTTTATTATATAAACTTTTTTCGATATATTTCCCGTTTTTAGTTGTCATTTTAAAACTACTGCTACACAATTATATATAAATTATTTTATTGTTATTGTTACAGTTTGTCGGTGCTTTACAAAATACATTTGTGCGAAGGATTGTTGGGAAGTTTACGATCCAGGAAATAGCGGCAACGGATTCGCGAGTCGTTTCAAGAGTAAAACATTGCGGAATTTTTCTACAGTGGGTCAGATACCGTAAAAGGTGAGTAGAAGCATCGATTCAAACTCGGCAAACACACGAACAAAGAGCTCGCGAATGAAATAGCTTCCGGGAAATATCGATCCACGCTAAAGGTGTTCATCCACAACACCTGCGCGACTTCATCGATCAGCTTTATTCATGCGTTTTGATGTATAAGCGCGGCGCGAATTGATGTCGTGTTTCGCGGACATCTAACAAGCACGTAGCACAACATATTTTCATTCCCACCTCGGAAACGACTTTACATATTACGTACATTACTCGAACATATTCATTGACTATATCCCTACATTATCTCTAGATTAGTCAGGAGAATGTCTTATACGTTCCCATATTTCTCAGCATTGAACTATGACTTGAAAAAAATTTACAAAGTATTTAAATGTTGAAATAGATTTGTGTATAATATATGTAAATAAAGATTGAAACGCCGAAACACAAAAAAGTTGGAGATAATATATCACACATATATTTGTACTATATTAATTCAATAAATCCACTTCCAAAAGAATTTCTTCTAAGTGACGATTCAACTCTTCTATGCGGTATAATTTTTATATTATTAATGTGAAAGGATAATGTTTTGCAAGAAATAATATGGATGTTCAATCGCATTCTTTCGTAATTAATTGCATGATTTACAATTAAAAATGTTACTGTGGAAAGCCTGTGCAACCTTCAATTTGAGAACCGTTATTTCTAACGTTAAATCGCGCAATTGACCACGTAATTACTGAATTTAACATTAGCGTATCTACGCCATGTGTATAGATATATCGACATTATGTGACGTGCTCGTAGACTATTCCTGTCTAATGTACGAGCCGGTTTTCCAATGTAGTTTTCCATGGCATTTCCGACAACAATGCATTATATTAGAGCTAGACTTTCTCTCTATAGCAAGACTTTCTCTCTATAGCAAGATAAATTTTTTTTTTTTGGAAGATCTTTTTATATGCCAGATATTATGATTACTTATTCATTATCTATACTTTATTTATGTACATATAAGTGTACCAAGTCTGCTATACGCAATGCAAATATTGATTTACGCATTATCGGTTTTGGGTATAATAATATATAACTACAGTTTGTTTTTTTCTGATTTAAAAAATTAAACATATGTCTATGCTAATTTTCGAATTTTTGGATTCGTTTGAAGAAAACGAATCGAGCCGTTCTAAGTAATTTGTTCAACAACATACGCAGTTGTAAAACTTCAAAGATTTTTCGATAAGAGATAAACTCAAAAATAAGACAAGTAAAGATGAAGATAGCGATCTGCCGTAAAGGAAAAAAAAAGAAAAATATCTTACGTGACGATACGCCACGACTAGATAAATCGTATTGTATAACGAATCATTTGACGTAGCAGGTACGGAATTTCGACGCGATAAAATAGATCGGCGACCGATCGGCGAGAGGAGCATGCTCACGAAAAGTGAAAGGAAACCTACCGGGCGCGGACACAATTTTACCGAACACTGAATAACCGAATGACTCTGATTGACTGACTGACTGTCTGACTGACTGACTGCAGTTGCTGGACTCATGTTCCTCTTATATCACCACAGGATCCCAATGTTGATCTCCCACCCGCAACTCATAGACAAATCAGCCGCGAAGTATCTCGTAAACGATTATACTCCAACACCACCGGACGATTATTGAAGATGACGGAAGATTCCGGATCTTTCGACCAATCTCGCGCATCGTCTCCTTTCGTACGATCAAAAATATGTGGGATTCACATAATAATTTAAAATATATTAAAAGATATAATAATAACTTTTAAAAACACGTAACTCTATTGCTATTTAAAAATAATTTAATGTCTTTCTAAGGTTTCCTAATGCTTTTATAATGTTGTAAGTTAATTTAAATTAGGTCAACTCTCTATTATCGCTTCCAACAATTAGCACGTTAATTTTAATTTAATCACGCACAATGATTTAAGCTTAATAGAATGTGTAACATTATTTTTATTATCTTATATACTCTCTAAAAAAAGGTAGATTTGTCTTTTTTAAACATAGTATGCCAATTTATGGTAATATTGCGCAATGTATTTACGCAACATGTTGTTAAAACTGAGAAATGATACGCGAATATACATATTGCATAGAATTCTAAAATGTTTCTAAAACTGGCCATCGCAATAGCTCTATATTTTATTGTAAAAAAATAGATATATAGAAATTTAATGTATAAAAAAAAAATAGATATACAGAAACTTTATGTATATATATATTCGTAAACATGCGAAAACATGATTGCTTTAATTAAAGATCGCGTAAAATCACATGACGTAGATTTGAATGTATTTACTGACTTGAGTGTTAGAAGCTTACTTTTGATTGAAGCTGACTATTACAAGGAAGGCAGCAACGTGCCACACGCGGTACAAACGTGCCATTTAAATTAATAGGATAATAGTGAAGGATATTAGATATTCACGAACGACTGCTCAACGAATCCGTTGAAGTAATCACCTGCAGTAAGTATGTCGCCGACGAACGTACACGAACTTATCAACGTCGTGAGCGCGAGATTAGCATTGTTAGCGATATATTAACGCTCGCGAAGAAACCGTCAACTTTAAATCTTTTCGCATGTTAGGTCGATCGATAAACTGGGACTCGACAATGTGTCGACGTTTTATTGATAAAACGAAGAAAATATGTCCGCGAATCATCAATTATAGTAGCAACACTAAAAATGTTTTAGAATTCGAAGCTTAATTTACATAATCTGTTAACTAATGCTTTGTTTCATAATTCCGTGAAATAGCAAAAATGTGCATGCGTTCTTCCGTTATCGCATAGATGAGGCGAAGTTGAGGTGAATATAAAATCGACACGTAAGCGATAGCATAAACTAATGTTAGTTATCGCATAATTATCGTGTTGAAAATAAACGTATGATTCACGAGTTTATTATCAGAAATAATTCGCCGTCTCGTGTCTTTTTTTTTTTCTTAACGAAATCTATTATAACTGATACAACTGTCTTCGGCGTAACATCTTTCCTATTGCGATTAATCGCACGTAATACAATTATCAAGTAATATCGAGCTGCTTCTATTTTTATCGATGTTATTATTTTTCAAGATTTTTCCGTCTCGCTTTCTATGAATTTTTCAACATAATATCTTATATCACGTGAGACTTATAGATGAGAGATTTCTTGTCTTATACAATTTTATAAATATACGAATACACATAATCACGCAAACATAAATACATATTTGCATGGAATTTACATTCTTTATTATGAGAAAAATATGAACATTCGTTTTGTCATAAGGTGATATTTATTTAAAGTAATAATTATATATGCTCAAAGACACAAATTGAATTTTATAAAATGATTGACACTACGAAAAGTGCAACATACAGAGGTGTCAGAAAAAATTTAATTATAATTTTTTTACATTTTAATATCTCATCTATATGGTGAATAATCCTATCGTAGTTTTCAAAAGGCATTTCTCACAGTCAAAATTTTTTCATAATCGAATCTTAAATCATATTACTCGATAAAATTCGAATTATTGAAGAGATCGATCACGATCAGAGAGAATCAGCGTGCTTCGGTAATCGTCACAATTTTGTCGCATCGACAACAGCAAAATCCGAACGATCGTGATATATTTTCGAGTGAATCGAACGAGATTGATGGACGTTTATAGTGCATCCTGGCGAAGTGGGGATAATTATACTTCGGATTGAAGTGTCCTTTGTGTGCTTAGATTCTCTTTATAAAGGAAACCGGATATTGCATTTGCAGAGCTCTGATTGGCAGCTTGACTACGCAGTATTCGCACAATTGGAACTTTGTAATTATTGTTTCCTGCTATATGTGTACATAGATGGGAAATTAACAATGCTTCCTGTAAAGTAAAAATTGGAAAATATCGCTCTACCATTTAGATTCGAATATGAAACTGAGTGATAAGAAAATATTGCTAATTCATATATGCGCGTGTAGAAACTGCCACAATTGTAAATTTTAACGGAAATATGTAATACTCGATTAATTCGCGAAGCAATATACATAATGGACAGACATTAAAAAGTACATTTCGAATACGGTTTTATATTTATAGAATTGTTACACTGAGATGGACTTATTATTAAAATTCTCTAGTAATAATTATTTTTTTACTTTATATCATATAATATATTCAGAATATTAATTTTTTTATTTTCAATATTAAATTAATAATATTAAAACTGCAATTAATAAGTTAGTTATTACAAATATGTGATACGATAAAAATATATATCTAAATTATATATCCGATAGTTTTTGACATGGTGGAGAAAATATATGCTTTTCGATTTTTCGATTTATAGTCTCGTAAAAAAAGTGAAAGATCTATTCCGATCTTCGTGCTATTATGGTACTTATCCTCAGGGCATTATAATTGATGTGATATTATGTCTGGCGAAATTAATCGGAAATTACGCACGCGCATATTCACACGCAATCGTTCAACAATTATAACCAGTTTGATCGTGGAAATAGCGGAGCGCGAATATAAGGATATGCATTCCGGTTGCGCGCGACGTGATATGTCGCAAAATAAAAAAGCACGCGACTTTGTAAAATGACGTCGACATCGAATATTAATGTAACTGTCGCTCACAAGTACGGAGTTAAGCAAGCCGTAGTTCAAAAAATAAGAAAAAAAGAGGAGAAGCGAATCACACTCGACACGTGCGCGAAGATTATGATACGATTTTTATTTCACGAGAAGAATTCGTTGCCCAAGTATTGCGATCCCTCATTTAATTTCATGAGCCTCCGAAACGGTATTCCGAACAGCTACACTTTAACTTCCAGCGTGTTTGGAATCGTGAAAATATGATCGAAAATACGTTGGAAATATTTTTAAGGAAAAGATTGCAACGCAATTTTTATATTCGTAGAATGAATAATTTTTTGCCGAACAATTCCATAGATCTTATTTAAATCATCGAACACTTTCTCAAATTATCAAAAAGATGTAAAACGCAAACAAAAGACATGTCATGACATTGCATTTATATCGCAACTCGACATAATATTCAGTTATTATTTCTCAAAGAAAAGGACTGTGTTCAACATATTTCGAAAAATATTAAATCGGGCATACATAATATTTCATTAAAATACACGAAGAGTTTTTTATCATTTTGAACGATCATGTTACAGTATAACGCATAGTGTCCAATGCCGCTTAACAATGAGCGTTTCACATAATAAATAAGTCACCAAGATAATCGCAGTGCCTTTGCACATGTACTTGATTCTATGACTCAGAACTTACCTCTTGTAAATTTAATATTTACAGATAATTGAATAAGAAATATATTGAGAAATTTCACAAGTTAATAAACATGTTATAAAGAGATTTTATGCGGGATTTTGTGAGAAATATTCAAATATTATTTAAATAAAATATATTAAGTTATCTGACAATATATATATATATATATTAATTAATCGATATTAAATAAAATTGGGGAAATTTGGATAAATGGTTAAATTTACTGCTGTAAAATAAAAACAGGAAAAAACGTGTAATAATATAAGGAGGTAAAAATATTAGAACAGAAATTCGCGTATTTATTTAATTCCAGTTATAACTATGCTAATTCCGCTCGATGCTCTATCTTATCTGCGCATTTATTTTTATCTTACGTCATAAGTCTAATTATCATGAAAATTAAAAGCAGATAGTTGGTTGTTAAATGGTATTTATATGCAACCGTTTCAGTATTACAAATTTACATTCACGCGAAGAAAATAACAACGTATAATCGAAATATTGCATTCGCTCGCAACAAATCGAAATCATGTATTTATGAGAGTGCACATGTAAATGTGAATGTAATAGAAGTAATTGCATAATTAACGATGCATT